CCACCTTCTCTCTGATTACCAAGTGCCAGGATGATTGACTGTATGCTCTTTCCTTACATTCCACTGTTTATCATACAAGGAGTCTTTTGATACATTCTTCTACAATGTCTTCATTTCATGCTGCTAATAACTGAGCTTGAGGCTTTTACATAACAGCTCAAGTACTTTTGCTGGTATCTGAAACAACTGATTTGCATAGGAACCAATGATAGGCTACTGATGCTGGTAGATGAGCTCCATTTTAGCACCTTACATTGTAGTTCTGTTCCTCCATGGAGCTCTGCGTTAGGCTTAAAAGAGTCAACTCGGTGTGCTCACACTCTCACATGAAGCTTCCGGTTTCCTTTTCAATGTCACATATGATTTTTTTTTTAAAACCACAAAGACATATTCAGGATAAAACATCAAAAAGCCATGAGCCTCCAGTAAATACAAATGCAATTAACCAGTTTTAAAAGTAAAGGTCTTCAACAGTTCCTTCAAATGCTTTCATTTACTATTCACATATATTTTAAAATAAATATTGTGGGGAACAACATTATCACAAAATTATTCAAAAATTTTTACAAGTATATACACAAAGTATCAGAAAGTCAACTTCAAATTCACATGATACTGCCATACAGAGATAATCTCACATTCTGAAAAATAACGTTCTTAGAAATAACAGATAACATAGGTATTATGAAAGGTAATTTTTGAAATGTAAAATTAGATTTAAATAGTATATTTTAAATGACAGAACTACATAATTATAGAGATTGGGTGGGCAAACCTCAAAATCAGACTAAACTTTTGAAAGTTGAATTAATATACAGAGTTTTGTGTGTATAGTTTTAAAATTGTTAAGGCAAAAAGTGTCAAATGCTTTAGAATTAAATAACAAAATGGATTACTGGTTTAAAAGATGTGATATGTAGTTGCTTTCTTTTTTGAAATGAAAGCTACAAGGTTTAAGAAAAGGATGCAAAAGGCATAATATCTACATAGGCATTCACAGGACCAAATTAAATTAGGGGTTTAAAAAACCAAATTTGACTTGTTTAGTCATGTACTCAAGGAAGAACAAAATTGCATGTGTAAAAGGCAGCTTCATATTTAGGAGCATGAAGTCAGCAGTGAGTGGTTTTGTGGTCCTTGCTTTTCCAATGGGAGAAGAAAAGAACCATTTTGTAAGTCACTCTTTGCTGTGCTGACCTCAGAGTTAGACTTGAAACCTTGGGAATAGTGAAGTACATGTGGCATAAAACTAGAAATTACAATCCTATTTCATTCCAGAAAGTTTACCCCATTGACCTTAAAGGCAGTGCTCATTCCAGTTACTAAATGGACACATTTTATGTCTTTGTTGAATTAATTTGCTTTTAATTTCTGAAAATACAGACTTTATTATCCTTAATTATTATACATGGTATATACCTTCTTTCTTTTATACTTCTATAAAGAAATATAAATGGGGAAAAAGTAAAGGTCTCCAAGTCTTTATTCATGCCAGTGGATTCCCAAGTTCTAGACACAGTAATCCAAACAATCATTTCTATAGCTTGAGAAAAGTGAACACCTAGAGTGAAATATTATGCAAAAGGCATTATATAGACATAGGCATTCACAGGACTCCTTTTCATAATTACTTGACAATTCATAGCACAGTTTCACTCAAATTTTCTAATTATGAAAATTGTAGATTTACAATCATTGCCTCTCATAATGATCACAATGTTCTTCATTTTAATTTATTTCTAATGAAATTCTGTTTCAGTGACCAGAACTTGAGTTTGAGGTAGCTTCACAGTGGTTCTATTGCTATGAAAACGGTGTGCTTCAAAGGACCACCTGAAATATTTGATAAAGACGTAAATGAAAGAGGGAAACACAGTTTTAGTTACACAGATTTTTCTCTTGATTTACAAACTGAAAAAGAAAAGGGACGAGAACAAAACCACTAAAACAACAAAGTCCTGGCATGTGCTGTAGGATACAATGCTTTACAAGGTCAGTTTAAATGGCAAGGTCGGCGGGTCAATCTCACCAACCGCTCCTCCGATACCCTACACAGAGTCTCTATGGGTTGGAACCAACTCGATGGCACTTAACAACAATAAAACCAAACACTTCTTCAGTGACTAAAATACAGTTCCTTTGTGAGCATGGACACAATGCATGGAATCTGCTTCTTGGCATGGAAAGCAGGGTCAGGTGAACAGGACTCAAATTCTGTTGCTACCTTCCGGTTAACCCGAGTGAGGATGTGCATGAGTTCAAGCTTGTGAGCATACTGATTCAGCATAGCACAGAGTGACTGGATGAACCAGGATCCGTCCTTTGAATTTCGCCAGGAATAGTAACCTACAAGGCAAAACATAGCCGAAATACCATGGGTTTCTGATTTTAGCTGATTGTATAAATTATTATAAAACCACAAAGATTTAGGGGGTGGGAAGTATGGATTTCTATGAGTCTTGGCAGCCATAAAAAGAAAAAATTAAGTGATAAGTTTGGTTTCATGGGGAATGGATGATGCTGGAGGTAAAAAAACCTGTCCTGGATATGCATTTCTGCTTTCAGCAAAGGTAAAAAATTGTGGACTAATTCATCTCTATTCAATTACTTACAGTTCTACTTTCTGGGCTCCCCTCTTTCAATAGGGAAGAATAAGGAAGCAAGTAAAAGATAAGAAGAAACAGAAGCAAAGATTTCTAAAAAGGTTCAGAACAAGCAGCATGGTGTTTCAATCAGATTTAATCTTGTTTTAACACTGGCTTATCCAAGAAATAAGTTCCTAATATTTGCATAAATTTGTGGGCTCTAACAACATCACCAATTTGTTTAGAGTGCCTGGAAAAAGTCCCAAAAGGGGGAATAGTGCATTTACTGAACTTTAGTTCAAATTAACTATTGAACTCGTTGCTTTAAATTTATAAGTACTTTACCTAGAAAGATGCCTAGAGAGCAAAGAAAACAAAATTGAGCATATTTGAAAATATAATGCCCTGTATAAAAATAAAGTTTCGGGGTACAAGAGGTCCTTTTGGGGTGATGACAGTGGTGATGCCACAACACTGTGAATGTATTTTAATGTCACTGAATTGGATATGTTTTTTAAAAGCTGCTTTCAGTTCAGTTCTGAAATAGAACTTAACCTCATGGCCCAATTTTTAGCCAAGCAGTAGAAGGTATATTGGGAGGAGGACAACAATACTAGTAAGGTATGTTCTCCATGGAATGGTCAACCATTCAAGATCACAAAGGCAATATTTACCTAAAGACAAAGTTGAGAAAGGATGGGAAGGAGAGTGGAATGGAAACAAGAACCCCAGGGAGGAAGCAGGATAACTGTTGTTGCATGGAGGGGGATTGCAATCATCGAGATGAAACAAAGTCTATGATTTGTTGAATGTGGAACTGATGATGTGTTCTGTAAACCTTTACTCAATTCACAGAAAGTTAAAAAAATTAAAATGCCTTCATCTAAAATGAAGAAATTCACAATATAATGGTGAATTTTGCATCTTGTGTATGTTGTCACAGTCAAGCTCTGTGACAGCCTCAGTTAGGTATATGATAAATAGTTGTATAATGCAAAACTGGTTATTTAGGATGGCATGCACAACACACCCACAAAAAAATAAGAGGGTAAAGTTATTTACTTTAGCCTGTTAACAATATAATATGGAGGTGGGAGGGGGTAGGGCTTCAAAAGGTTTATGGAAAAATTCCATTATCTTTAAATTCCAGTTTTCACAGATTTTTTGAAGTCCCCTTTTACTATCTGGGTGGGAGAAAGATGAGGTTTTCTGCTCCTGTAAAGACTGACAGCCTTGGAAATCCTGGAAATGGTCACAATGAGTGGGAACTGACTTGATGGGATGATGGGTTTGGTTTTAGTTTTTGACTATCTGATATTAAGTTCATGAATGTTCATATACACACACATCCTCAAACATGTATGTGGTGTGGCACTGTGGGTTAATGCGCTGGACTGCAAAGTCGGCTGAACCGCAAGGTCAGTGGTTCAAATTCACCAGCCGCTCCTCAGAAACCCTATACAGGGTTGCTGAGTCGGAACAGACTCAACGGCACTAAACAACAACAGCATATATATATTATATATGCTCTGGTAGCGTAGTGGCTACGAATCGGGCTGCGAACCGCAAGGTCAGCAGTTCGAAACTACCAGCTGCTCCGCGGGAGAAAGATGAGGCATTCTGCTCCCGTAAAGATTAACAGCCTTGGAAACCCTGTGCAGGGTCGCTATGAGTCGGAACTGACTCCACGGCACATAACAACAACAATGCACATTTTTGGGAAATTTTTTTGAAACTTCTCTGTGGTTAAGGTATATTATAATTCAGCTCAAACTCTTACTAGCCTTTTTGATACACTCTTCATTGCTGAATTCCCTATACAATCATTATAATTAACTAGCGATCTATATGCAACATTCATGATTTGTAACTTTCTTACCTGGTGCTGTGGAATATGCATATAAGAAGTCTGCCTCAACTGGTATCTTCTGGCATGTCATGTCATCGTCGAAAGCACTGTCTGTCTCAATGCCACAGTCCAAATCTGTACCTCTGCAGGCCTGGGTGTTCAGAGAGAAACATTAGAAAACGTGTCCATACTCTTCTACGAAATGCAAAGACAGCGTATGATTAAAACTTATTTCGTATCTCCTAAGGGATGGATTAAATGAAGAAAAAAGTAACAATAATTCAGTAGTCTCAGGGAAAAATATTTGGCTATGCTACAATTAAGTAAATTATTCCCTGAGCCAATTCCTCAACAAGAGTCCCTGGGTAGTGCAATAGTTAGAATGTTTGGCTGTTGTGAACTGTTAGTGGTAAGTTCACCTAGGGGTACCTTGGAAGAAAGATCTGTCTAGTGGTCAACTTCTGAAAACTCAGCTGCTGAAAACCCCCTACAGCACAGTTCTACTCTGACACACACACGGTCACCAAAAATCTGAATCATCTCGACGGCAACTAACAACAATCCTCAATCGCCACGTTGACTTTAGTTCAGTTGTACGGTACCTGAATAATAAAAAGTTTGGGCTTTCCAGCTAGACTTCTGCAATTATCCCCTCTGAAGAAAGTTGTTAAATTTTTCAGGTCAACAGGTCCATCTGTTCCATAAATAACGCCTTCCTCACCATGGCTTAGAAGCACGCAGATAAAACTGCTCCTTTTGCTATGATCTTCTTCAGAGACTTGAAAGACATTTACAAAGAAGTACAATTTATTCAACAATCTAGGGTACACTGGAGGGGATTATACCCTGGAAGAAACTGAACTAAGATTCATCTAAAACCAATTTGGGAGCAGAACAACAGATCTCCAAGTATTTTAGGGAATTGGAATGAATATATATAATTTTAATTATTAGCAAGATATAGAAGATTAGGACTATATACAGTATAAGTCAATAATTCTTGTGCTTTATTATTTGAGGTAAGTCAAAAAGTATTGCTACTATGATTCTACCTCATATATGTATGGGTTTATTCCGAACAAAATGTGTTTAAACATGTTTCTACAATCAGTGGACAGCTGCAGTCAAATTTTCTCAGAAATACACTTGTCTTAGTCTCCTTGTAGTTAAGTGCCATTGAGTTGGTTCCGATCCATAGCAACCCTGTATAGGGTTTCCGAGGAGTGACTGGTGAGCTTGAACCGCCAACCTTGCAGTGTTGGTGCATTAGCCCACAGCGCCACACCAGGGCTCCTAGTCTCCTTGGGATGCTTTAAAAAAGGATACTTTTAATGTCATGGGGAAAAAAAAATACAGAGGTCAGATTTTTAACAGACCTCAAGTGTACATCTTCCCAAATCACTGAAGTTTTGTAGTTTACAAGAATGCTGTCCCAAATAAAACAGCTTTTAGATGGATCAAGAGTTTTAAGGAAGGTTGGGAATACATCAAAGATGAGTTAAGAGAGGGAAGACCATCAGTTTCAATGAATGAAAATTATGGCTGAAATCCAGACACTTGTGAAAGACTGTAGGATTGCCATTGATGTGATAGTAACTGAAGTTGGGATCTCACATGGTTCAGTATTTTCAATTTTAAGTGACCATCTTCACCTCAAAACAAGCTTTCAGCTGGATGAGTGCCAAAAGGGTTGTGTGAAGATTGGCTAGCTCAAAGAATTGACTCTTCTGTCAACTTTAAATTTTAAGAAAGATTGAAGCTTATGAAGATGATTTTATAGAACGAATCATACCATGGATTAGTCTTGGACTTACCAATATGACCCAGATAGCAAGATCGAATCAAAACAGTGGCTTCTAAAGGGATCTGCTGGGTCAGTGAAATTCAAGGCAGAGAGGTCAGTTCAGGTAATAACGACTGTTTGTTTGTTTTTTATTCCAAGAGGATATCAGAATAGTGATGGGGGCTTATTAGAAGTTTTGAAAATTGTATTGATGAGAAAAAGTCCAGGAAAGTTGTACCAAGGAATTTTTTTCCATTGTGACATTGCACCCACTCATTCTTCAAGGGTAGCAAGGGTTGCCTTATAACAATTTTGTTGGGGAATCTTACTCCATCCAGCCTATAGACCTGGTCATGTCCCTTCAGACTTTGTTCTCAAAACTTGATTAATATTCTAAAGGAACACAATTTAAGGCCCTTGAGTCTGCCAAAATTGCCATTCTGATGGAGTATAAATCAAGGAGGACAGAATTCTTTAGGAAAGCGTTACAAAGATGGACACATTGCCTTCAGAAATGTATAGACTTAGATGGAGGATATGTTGAGAAATCATAGCTTTACGTTTTAATATTTTTACTTAATGAAGGTTTCAATGATTTCATAGCAATACTTTTGACTAACCTACGTAGGCATAATTATAGCTAGAACAAAATATAAAATTGGACAACGAAGGTCATTCTTTGAATTCTCTTACCACTGCGCATTAGTCCCATAATTTCTTCACGTGTAAGATCATTTTTATTCCTGACTTCATATTTCAGGTTCCTGAATGTTTCCATGACCTTTGCTGCATCTACATCTGTACCAGACCGAGGTGCCATTTCTTGGAACAGAAGAATAAAAGCACATTGTAAGGCAAAAGTCAACTACAGATCTAAATATTGGTGAGGGGATGTAGCAATGGGGGAAAAGTTAAATGGCATGCTTGCTTTAAAAAAAAAAATAAGTTCAACAGTATCAAGTTTATATAAGATGAGAGTACCATAGCATATTATGAGGCAGAATACGTAGAAATAATTTTTTTAAAAATTGTCCTTTTCTAACGGTTGAAGGTAGTATCTCAGCATATAGCTAAAAGCACTAAAAATGACACTACTCAGGGCTGTTGCTATGTGCTGTGGAGTCGGTTCCGACTCATAGCGACCCTGTACAGGGTTTCCAAGCCTATAAACCTTTACAGAAGCAGAAAGCCTCATCTTTCTCCCGCGGAACACCTGGTAGCTTCGAACTGCTAACTGTGAGATTAGTAGCCCAACTAAACTATTGTCTTTTTACTTGTAACTAATCTTAACAACAAACCCTGTGTATCTTTCCAATGTATTCTGGCTTCCTTCCATTCTCACAACCACCCAGGTTCTGAACTCCTGACTTCTGGGTTACCTCAGGAGCTTCCTAAATTGGATCCACTTGACCTAGTGTCTCTAATGTAAAAATTGTTTGAATATGATTAAAATATCGATTTGAAAAATTAGCAAGGCATACATTTAAAAATGAAAACAGAGGATGAATCAAAGCATCTATGTTATCTAAGTTAAATGGAGCAAGAGGATAAAGAATCACAAGTCGGGACAGAAGAGGCCAAGCACACAACTAGAAGAGATAGATTTTAAAGATAAGTATTAGAGTTAAAAATTCATATTGTAGGAGAGGCTTCAAAAAGACTGTGGAAAAATGGAATGAAAAGATAATAGAATTTTTTCAGACATTTTGAAGTTGCCTAGTATGTACTGCTCTATCTCTAATTTATGGTTAGTCTGTGTCATAGGTCTCTGACCAATAACAGATTAATGGTATTTTTAACATTTCAAATGGTACACATATTAAAAAATATCTAAAAAGTATGTAAGATACATACTAGTACTTGAATGAAAGTTCTTATTATTAATTATTATACATAAACCCATCTCAGGATAGTCCATTTTGTAACAACTATCCAAGGATATTCCGGAGTCCATTGATTTGCTTCCATGGAAGATCTTTCTGTTAAGAAATCAAATAATAGTTTACAACGTTATAAATGGGTAATGCTGTTTTTCACATTAATAAAAAAATTAAAACTCATGGGAATGTTAACATTTATTGAATGTTATGAGAGCATGCTTGAGGCCTCTGTCCGTGGGGTTAAGTAATATGCTGAAAGTTTTCAGATATTAAGTTATCAGAACCAGGCATCCACTGAACTTCAGAGACCAAACTTTTAATCTCTATATTTATGTTTTCCTGTAAATATTAACAAGCTTTTCAAATAGATTTAATACTTTAAATTATCCCAAAATTGTCAGAAACCAACAAAATGCAAGTGACTCAAAATATAATAGTTTTAAAATTCCTAAATTGTTCTGTAAACTCTATGAACTGAACAAATTAATAATTTATTAATATAGAGAAGTACTATTGTAAATATTGACAATACTTGTCTGGAAATCCCTCATCCAAAAATAAAGCATCTGCAAACTTTTTCTTCAAGGGTAAGGTAGTATTTTAGATTTTCAGGCCACAGGGTCTCTGTGGTGGTAAAAGGAGACTAGAACTACTTGTAAACGAATGAGTGTGGCTGTGCTTCCAGAAAACCTGACAAAAACAGACCACACTGAGACCAACAACCCGGACATGACAAGCCAAAAAAACCCAACAAAATCCACCCCACAAGAAATCTCCTGCCATCAAGTCAATTCAGATGCACGGTGACCCCATTATAGAGACATAGTCCTCCACAGGGCTTTCAATAGCTGCACTGCTGAGTATGGATCTGACACTGTGTTGGAGTCTTTCTAGATGGCTCCCTTAATGTTCCTCACAATTCCATGAAAATTTTATAGCTGAAATTCAAAGACGTTAAAATAACTGTGTTAAGTCACAAAGCTGTCTGAGGGAGAAAGTTGACTTGATTTGTCTGGCTACAGAAAGCCCATATTCATTCTGCTTCCCCATTCCTCAACCTCTGCTGTACAAGGGAGCTTCAGAAAGTTCCTGGAAAAACTCAATTACCTTTTAATTCCACTTTCAGTTTCACAGACTTTTTGAAATCGCCTTGTACCAACTTTTCTCAGATTATACAGTATTCCATTTACCTGTATAATCATATACTCACTTTTCTCTGATTATACAGGATTCCATGTAAATACTCACGTTTCTGAATTTTTAATGGATTTTGAATCCACTGAGTCTCCACTGTTCTCCATGTTTTCACTGTTCTCCACTGTTTTATTGACTAGAATATAAAGAAAATAGGAATGAATCAAAATCAGCTATTATTACCCCTTCCCCAAGTTTCCCTTTACTATTAAAGGTTTCTGTGAGTTGAACGTATCCTTTCTGCTTTCCTTCCTTTCTTTTAACTGAGGAGGTGGTGATGGTTATGTGCTATGGAGTCGGTTCTGACTCATAGAGATCCTATATAGTGTTTCCAAGGCTGGTGAGTTTGAACTGCTAACTTGTAGTTTGAACTGACCTTGCAGTCCAGTGCTTTATTTCACAGTACCACACCAGGACTCCTAGGTATTATGTTGTTGTTATTAGGTACTATTGAGCTGATACTGACTCATAGTGACCCTGTGCACACCAGAATGGAAACACTGCCTGGTCAAGTCATGTGCCAACCTCACAATCATTGCTACACCTGAGCCCATTGCTATCATGTTGAGGGGGTCTTCCTATTTTTCTCTGACCCTTCACATTACCATACATGATATCCTTCTCCAGGAACTGGTTCCTCTTGATAAAATGTCTAAAGTATGAAAGATGAAGTTAGGCCATTCTGGCTTCCAAGGTACATTCCGGTTGTACTTCTTCCAACACAGACTGGTTTGTTCTCTTGGCAGTCCATGGTACTTTCAATTTTTTCCCCTAGTACCATAACTCAAATGCATTAATTCTCCTACGGTCTTCCTTATTCACTGTCCAACTTTCACATGAGTATGAGGTTACTGAAAATGCTATGGCTTAGATTAGACGCACCTCAGTCCTCAAAGTAAGGAGCTCCGGTAGCATAGTGGATATGAGTCGGGCTGCTTACCTCGTCAGCAGTCCAAAACTACGAGCTACTCCATGGGAGAAAGATTAGGTTTTCTGCTCCTGTAAATATTTACAGCCTTAAAAACCTCATATAGGGTCACTATGAGTCAGAACTGACTCCTCAGCATGTAACTAGTACTAACTACTAACTAGTCCTCAAACTGACGTCTTTGCTCTTCAACACTTTACAGAGATCTTGTGCAGCAGATTTACCTAATGCAATATACGTCATTTGATTACTTGATTACTGCTTCCACGAGTGTTGATGAAGTTTTTCACAACTTCAATCTTTTCTCCGTTTATACGGATGTTGTTTATTAGTCCAGTGGTGAGATTTTTGTTTTCTTTACATTGAGATGTAACCCATAATGAAGCCTGTGGTCTTTAATGTTCCAGGCAATCCTATATCGGGAAGTACAGCTCCTAGTGTATAAGTAGCTTTGTCCATGTCACAGAGCTAAGTGTTGCAGATTCAGGGTCTCTCCCTTCCCCTCTGCTCTGTTGCCTCTGAAGAAGCCAGTTCCTTACTATTTGTCTCCTAGAGTTCTACCATGTCTTCTTCTAAGCTTTTCAAAAGCACAAGTACTTTGTATGACAATCTACCTCCCTAAATGTGGAAGAAAGCAGAGACAAGAAAAAAAAGCAAAAACCTTAAATGACCTTCTCCAGCCTCTAAAAGTCCTGCTAAAATTTTTAAATTAAAAAACTGACAAGAAGGGGGAGTGGAATGGAAGAACAAGGTGGATGGGAGAACAGTTAGGCAGGTTTGCATAGACCAAGTGGGACTTGAGGCATGGTTTGAATGGGTAAAAGACAGGAAATAATGTTAAGATGCTTGGGTGTGGTTTGACTCTTGGTTTCCCTTGTCTACCATTGTAAAATAGGCACTTGACGGGGAAAGAAAGAAATAGAAACATCACCGTAGAAAGAAAGCTTGTAAGTCCATCTTTAGCCTATAACTGATTGGAATACCTAAAATAGGGCTAGAACTTGCCCAGTGAAAGAGGCTTCCTGTGGAGCCTTTGCATTGCATAAGACTATAGGTGGAATACTGATCCCAATCCAGAATCTTCTGAGGTGGGAAATTTCCACGTTTAAGCTTAAGTTGACCAGCCTGGAGTGGCTAGAAGAACATAAGATATTTCTTTTTTTTCATTCAATATTTTATTGTGAATTATGTGATAGTTTACACGGGAGAACATTAGTTTTATATTCATCCTATCATATATCGTTTCATTGCCATGGTACAATTCCCTCCATGCATCATTAAACAACCAAAGGGTATACCCTGCAAGCCTGCTCCCCGGTCATCAGCATACAGGTCCTCTCCCTCTCTGGATCTTGAGTCCCCAGCCACTCCATCTCTCTACATCATCATCTCTGCCTCCGTCTCTGATGTCACTGCTTCTTCACTCGACTTGTTCTCCACTCGACTCCCTTGATGGTTTCAGTGACCTTGTTCTCCACTCGACTCCCTTGATGGTTTCAGTGACCTCTGCTCCTGGACTGCAAGTCAATCACTCCCCTCCTTGTTACAAAATGTCTACCTTTACATTTCCAACCCTCGCAGTCAGTCCTGATAACAGTTATTCACCATTGTACCACAAGGGACCTAACCCCATGTCCTTTCATAAACTTCGCTCAGACAGATTGAATACTACTCGGTGAAGATTCTACCTTCCTCCGCACACTCTGGATCTAGG